TAAGTACAGGAGGATGTATTTATATTTCATTATAGCTGTGCAGAGGCTCTGTTTATGACAATATACTGTCTTTAAATTTTAAAAAAAAAAAGGTCAAGCAAGGTTCAAATATTTCCTTCTCAGGTACTGTGTGGACTCAGAATATTTTGAGCTTAATAATTCATGAAGGCCACCGTAACGGAACAGAAAATATGGAGACCATGGACAGAATCCCATGGCTGGAATACAATATAAAAAATATGGATTATGCAAATCTTCCTTTCCCTCGTGTTTTTGCCACCCACTTGCCTTACTACTTAGTTCCAAGAGACCTGAGAAACAAAAGAGCACGTGTAAGTGAAGTTATTTGTATGATTGCCGCAAAACCAGTCATGTCAATATGCCACTATGGAAGTGGTCCAAAGCCTACCATTTTGCTCTTTCAGTTCGGGAAATGGTCCAGGTAATGAAGTCCTCTCATATCTCTGAGACAAACCCCCTTATTGTTTTGCAGGTTATTTATGTTTCCAGGAACCCTAAGGACGTCATGGTTTCCTACTACCACTTCGCCAAATACATGAATTCACTAGAGGAAGTACCAGATTTTAACCTTCTCATGGAGAGATTTCTAGCTGGCAAAAGTAGGATATGTTTTTTACTAAGGAGCCCAAATCATATCCCATGCCATCAGATTGAATGGAGATTGATTACATCAATAAGTGTCAATTATCAGAATCCCCATCTATGCTGTGACCTGAATCCAAATCCTCCCCTCAAATTGTCAAAAAGTGTTACTTAAAAAAAAAAAAAGCTTTCAAATGATAATTTTGTTAGCTCTTCATTGTATTTGTCTATATTTTTTGTTTTATCTATATATTTGTTTGTTTCCATACTTTGTCTTGCAAAGTTCCTGCCAGTTCGTGGCTGGATCACGTTTCAGGCTGGTACAGTCATGCAGAGGATTTCAATATACTCTTCCTTACCTATGAAGAAATGAAAAAGGTGAGGTCAATCACTACCACTGCATTCAAGATATTCTCTTCCTATATTGAGGGCACTGTCAGACAGCTCTTTATAATTACACTTTTTATATGGGAAAGTGGTTGAATCTGGTAAGGAGTAAATTCAAATTGAGACTTCTGAGAGGAGAAAGTCATTGCTCTCCTTGGTTCAAGGTCTTATCAATTTCTAGAGAATCATTAGGGAAACACTTTCCAATATGATACAAGTTATCTTCACTGCCACCTCAAAAACCCCTTTCAGAAACAGTACAGAACAAGGCTTTTGTGGGTACCTTCAATGGGAATGTTGTGCTCATGAGGACAGTTCCACTAAAGGCAAGACGTGCTGAAGAGGCAGGGCTTCAAATTACTTGAGGAGCTCTCAAACTGCTGACCACAGTTTGCCAGCTTGGTGGCTGCCCATGCCTTTGTGTGACTCCTCATTTCTCCAAGGTGCCTGTTCTTCTCTGATGCAAGCGAAAAAAGGCTCACGTAAAAGCCATGGTGATGCTTGCAGCCAAGTGAACGTCCTTTATTATGGTGGATGCCACTACTGCATGCATTTTGCTCTTTGCTTCATCAAGACTCTTCAACGTACCATTATTGCAGGATCTGAGAAGTGCTGTGCTGAAGATCTGCAACTTCATAGGCAAGAAGCTGAGTGAAGAGGAAGTGGACAGTGTTGTGAGACAGGCCACATTTGAGAACATGAAGAAAGACCCCAGGGCCAACTATGAGAACCTGCCAGATGACATGGCAGCAAAAGACAAGGGTAGTTTTCTACGAAAAGGTAAAGTGGAAGCAGTCCAATACAACAACTACTTGGTCCCATACTTCTTGGTATGAGATGAACCGAGAGTTTCTGGTCTCAGCAGGAATGCCCCATTTTCAGAGGGACAATTCAGGTCAGTAGGAAATAAACTTTATAAGAACAGTTGTCTTGCTGTGGCATCAATGATTTCACCATATTTTCCTGAGGATAAAAAAGCGTAATGTTTTACTGATTGTAATGTGGCTTGTAACTGGCCTGTCAGATACTGGAATGATTTAAGGGTTGTTCTGAACCAGGGGAAAGATAATTTTTTTTTTTTTTTTTACCTGTGTGTTAATTTTTGAGGCTAGAATCAGCTTAATTGGGGGAGGATACACCTTCTTGACCAACTACCGCATGAATCCACCCCCGGGCTCCTGGGTATGGCTAAGACGAGCAGGAGGAAACCTGAGGTGGGGCACTGAAAGGAGAGGTGTTGCTTCTCATCATTTCCTCTTTGATCTCAAAGGAATCAGTCAAACGTGCACGGTGCACGGTCTGCTTCTCACCTCCCTTTGCTGCTTTTTTCCTCAGGCACTGTTGGAGACTGGAAAAACATCATGACAGTGGCACAGAACGAAAGGTTTGACCAAGTTCTGAAAGAGAAAATGAAGAGCCTCCCCATCAAATACATCTGGGATATTAACGATGAAATGTAGGCTGGTTTTGACCTTCGTCATCCCTTGGTCTTTATACTGGGGGGACATATTTGCATTTCTGGAAGAAGAAAAGACATCCATTTTCTGCTCTGTTATAGCAATAGAACTACACCCACCCATCTTTTAAATACCTCCAAGGATGACGATTCCACTGCTTCCTTGGGAAGCCTGTTCCAATGCTTGGTAGCCCTTTTGGTAAGGAAATTATTCCTAATATGCATCCTAAACATTCCCTTGCGCAACATGAGGCCATTTCCTCTTGTGCTTGTTACTTCTGAGAAGCTACTGACCCCACCTCTCTACAACCTCTTCCAGGTAGTTCAAGAGAGCGATAAGGTCTCCCCTCAGCCTCCTTTTCTTCTGTCTGAATAACCCCAGTTCCCTCAATCGCTCCTCATAAGTCTTGTGCTCTAGGCCCTTCACCAGCTTCGTTGTCCTTCTTTGGAATCACTCCAGCACCTCCATGTCTTTCCTGTAGGGAGGGGCCCAAAACTGGATACAATACTCGAGGCTGGCCCTCACCAGTGCTGAGCACAGGAAGACAATTGCATCCCTAGTCCCACTATTTGCAATGTAGGCAAGGATGCTGTTGGTCTTCTTGGCCACCCGGGCAGGATGATATGCCACCTTTGATATCGTTGAGTGCCTGTTTCATTTGTAAACACCGATACTCAACCATTTGCCATTAAAGTAACCTTTATGTTGCACTCTGTGGTGTTGCCTATTGACTGAAACACTTGATAGCATTGTCCATTACAGTTCTCGAAGTCATGGCCGACAATTTGCTACTGGAAATATTGAGAAAAAACACAAGCCATAGTCACAGCAGCTTTTAAGTGAACGCCCACGCTATCATACCTGATGATCTGGTTACGCTACCAATGTACAAAACTCCCAGCTATCTATGACTACGACCTTCCTCATATATTCCTTGACTCACGACCATGGTTTGTCCCGGCCACGTGTCAAATCCACGGAGTGGCTTGTGCATGGGCTTCCCCTGAGAAGACAAGTACGGAAACATATGTCAAGATTTTTTCCTAGTTGCAAAATAGTTGCAAATCCAAGAACTCCACTCCTGACACGCGTCTGGTCTACAGTATATTCACCTTTGCAGACAGTAATGCCATCTGTGCTGCTTACAAAGGGAGTTCCAACTCCCACGTCATCTTTTCCAACTCTGTCCATTGAAACTACTCACAAACTGGAGCTGCAGTTCCTCCCCTCCCCAGGTGCACACTGTTACGTTGCTGATGCATCTCCAGCATTTTTCTCCCCTCCAACAATCTTCTCTCCCTCTCAGCACAGCCTTGGGCAGGAGGGCAGAGGGAAAGGACATGAGCTGAGCAGCAAACGGTTTGTTCCGACTTTTTTCCAGACACAAACCGCGCGTCCCATGTGGGGAAGGCAAGTTTTGGACTGACCCTCAACCCTGCTTCCTGCTGTGATGTCTATGTGATCAAACTACGGTGACTGCTTTTGGTTGCTATTGAACCAATGTCCTACCAAGCAGCCACAGCTGGACAGAACTTCTGATTTCAAAAACGTTTCAAATAATCATTTTGATTTGGCTGAGAGCATCTAGCCTTGGCTTTCTCATAAAATGTTTCTAAACTCTAAAATCCTTCCAGTTCACATAAGGGGTGTTTTTGTTTGTTTGATTCCTTCCCTTGCTGGCCCAAGGGACCAGCTTGCTCTTCTCATTTTCAATCCACCCATTTTAGCCTTCTGATGCAGTTTACCTGCTTTTTCCTGGACAGAATCACTTCCTGCACAGCATGCTGTTAGCTGCTATAAGGCAGAGGGGACCTCATAAAATTAGCTTACAAGAAGAATGATTCCACGTCCACCCATGGCACAGCCAGGCCATCTTTCCTTCAGGAACTTTGCATCCCCAGTACCAAGAAAAGAAGCTAAGAAAAACAAACAAACAAACAAACAAAAAAACCCACAAAAAAACCCAACCACCTTTACATGACTTATGTAACCACTGCATCATCTCCCGACCTCTGAGCATGAGCTTCCCATGAAGGGACCAGTGACCTTTTCCACCTGTACATATTGACCAGAGAAAAGGTAACACTAGTTCAAAGTCAGAAGCCTAACGCAGCCCTTTGGCTGAGTTTGCCCCAAGTGCAAACAGAACAGGTCCTCATTACAAGTTGGACCTTGGCCTTTACTCTTTTTTTAATGACATAAAGTCCCAGCAGAATAATAAAAGCCACATAAACCTCACACAACGCTGTGCGCCGCAGGCCAGTGGTATCAGCTCTCTCTTATCAGCTGCAGATTTCATGCAGTGTTTCACAGTGTATGCTTTGGACTTTGAGAGTTAAAAACAAGATACCTGGAAGGTTTTCAGCACCATGACTCTGAATTACTAAAATTTCAAAGTTTATCGATGGAATTTCATTAGATTAATATGTATTAGACTTCAATCTTTTCTAAAGTGTGTAACTAACCTTTAAATATTTCACCTAAGCTTCTTTCACCAAAAAGACCATATCTCAATCCATTTCAGCAAACTAAAACATGCAAACATAGCCGGGGTTACTCACTGTCGAATTCCCTTTTATTTCACAGATGTTAAATGCCAACAAAGCTACACAAATCTGAAGTTCAAATTGAGTCACTGAAACTTGTTCCGAAGACTTGGAGGAATGGACTTGATGCAATTTTTTGTCATTTCAACCCTTATTATTTCCTCTGCTTTGAAAAGTAAGATGTGAGAGTGGAAACACATTTTCACATTTTAACTTGTTTGACATTGTTTTAGCATTATTGAACTATATATCCTCTCTATCAAAACAAATAAATATGTTAGTATGACTACAGACTGGAAAAATATCATTAATCTAGAAATACCATTAATGAAAACCTTTTTTTTATCTGTAGATGATTCTTGTCAGTGACCCACCTGGAGAATTTTCTCAGATTACCACATTATGCCCAGACTCCATGGCATTCTGGGATTCAGTCTAGATTTAAAGAGAAGTAATTCACTCCTTTTATGAAAAAAAAAATGCCAGTTTTATACAAACATAGCTGAAAATGGAAAGCAGCCTTAGGAGTTAAATTTTTATGCAGCTGAACTGAGACATACCAGAAGTAAATTAAGTTCAGTGTTGAAGAACATTTTAAAGCATCCTGGCAATTCCACAGGATGCTGGATGTAGTCACCATGAATCTTCCAATCCAATCTTATCTTTGAAAAAAAATCACATTTAGTATCACAACAGCTCACAATTTTTAAAATGTATTTGGTATTCTGCTGGAACACAGATCCTGCGTATTGCTTTGAAACATACATCACTGAAACCTAGATGCTTGTCCAGAGTTCTTAGTAGCCAAAATTTAAAAGATCATATAGAGAGCAGTAGGGAAAAAGGCACATGGTTAATTTATAAAAGTATTTACAGGGTACTTGAGCACTTATTTCTGTCTTCTAGAAACTCATTCATCTTGAATACAAAAAGAAAAGACTACTGAAACATGTTCAAGATCATCCCAAACAGATGTTCTCAAGTAACATAAGTAGAGCTTTTACACCTTGAATTCTTTCTGGAATTCTGGAATTTCCCATTTTGAATACAGAATTTCCAAAGATTAGAGGACTAACAAATTTATGAACTTTAAGAACTATGATACCTTAGTGCAATCCTCCTCAAAGGTTGAAGGTGGCACAGTTAAGTCGAGTAACGATATTTTTAAAATTCAGCACACGGTGTTTAATCATTGAGGTGCCTGGTGGTTCCCTATTTGGAGAGCTGTCTTCTGAAACGTTCACCCATGCTGCCATCCTTCACGCCGATACTGTCTTAAACACAGCATCTTCAAACACCACAGTTCTCACAGCGGTTTGTGGTTTTTTGGAGGCGGGAAGGAAGAAGGAACCTAACAGCAAGCTGTTAGCTCCATAAGCAACTCTGCAGGATGATTACCATCCAGGAGCTGACGTGTAGCTCTACTGTGTGTTGTGCTAACTTTAATGGGCTGACAACAAGATGTTTCTAAAATAACACTCATTACATTCAAACCTGTAAGCACTCTATAAATGCTGGTACTCCAGGATTCCGTACTCCATTGACAGTGCTTCAACAGTCTGTTGCCAAAATCAGACTAGTTTTCCTAGGGTGGGTTGTGGTTTGTTTTGGGTTCTTTTTGCCATCAAAGTTCATTGATGCACAAGTTAAAAAAAAAAAAAAAATCCTCTCTGAACAAATCAACCAAACCTTTTAAGAGGACTTAATCTCATTCTGATTTTTTCCTACAGACTTCAACTAGTCATTTTGAAACTATCATTCTCAACTATGGCAAAAGATTTTTCTCTAGTAGTACGGAAACCGTTTCCATTAAACTTCAATAAGGCCATGCCTTATTAAAAGGCGACTAGTGCTGCCCTATCAACAGCCCGTAGGTTGGGGCACCAGAACTAACCATTTCTTAAAGTGGTATAAAATTCCACAAAAGAAAAAAAAATTTAAAAAAAACCCAAAACCTGCATAGTATGTGATCCCCTTCATTCACCAAAGCTGCCCATGTATATCCCTAGGTGGAAAAGAACAGAACAGCTGCTCAGCCATCAGCTGTGTTTAGTGCTTGCTATATCATCTTTCCATCTTGCTCGTTGTCACATCTCTTCAAAGGAGAGTTACAGAAATGGGAAAGAAGAAATAAGAGAAAACAGAATAGCATTTTCAGGCATCGATATTCCTCAAATTTTTCATGTGAGATATTAAAGTAAATTTATTTATGATGAAAGTCATCAGAAGACCATTCTCCTGGATTTAAAATATTTTGGTTTTTTTCTTTGGAAAGAAAAAAAAAACCAAAAAACTGATACATGTTACTAAAACCACAGATGCTGTGGCTTTCCTGCCTGCCCCTCTCTCCTTACGTATGTCCATACCGATGACAGAGTCAGTTCAAAAAAGTCTAATCACTATCTAAATTAACAGGGTTGTAGTCAGGGTCATCCTCTTCATCCTCCAACTCTAAATCATCCATTTCTTGGAATAAAGATTCATCAACCTCCACGCTGTTTCCAGCTGCAAAGAACAAAAAAAAAAAAATTATTTTCATACAAGTAGGATATGAAATACCTGAACAACAAAATACACAACACTTCCATATTCATTCTTCAAGTAGGCAGCTGTAACTTACTTGGATTTTTATGTATCAAATACAAAATGAAAATGAAATGCCACATTTTACCTTTCCACAGTTAAAGTGAAGCTTTTTATTCTCATACCAAAACCCAGTCCAGAGAAACGCTGCACAGCACCTCAGAATGCATTGGGAGAATGAAGTTAACATTTATAGAATCTCTGCTTCTGGGAGCTTTCTCCCAAATACTGTCAAAGTAGGAGCTCTGGACCCCACAGCTGGAACATTTACAACTATCACAGCCACAGAAACACATAGGGTTTATAAAAAACACCCTCACCATTTATACGCCTACCTACATACATTTGCTTTCAGATTTAAATTTTAAAAGCAAGATGAAGCTTTGCATGCTTTCACATTTTCTTCTGAAAGAGATGATGTTGACCCTAAGGACAAAACTTGAGGACTACTGCTATTTTATCTGTGTGTATCAACAGCGACATCTTCCGGGCACTGAGTAAGGTTCTGTTCTTTCCCTGGATTTGAAAGAGCCTTTGAAACAATTTCCATCTAAAAGATAATTCCATTATCCTGTTTAAGATGTGAAAATTAGGATTACATATTACATGGTATTGTAATATTAAACTGAAGTCAGTAACCTGTTGCATTTATGGCAGAATTCAAACAGCAATAAGGACAGGAGCTTTTAATCAGCGACAGCAACAGGATTAAAAATTAATACATTAGTCCCAATTCATTTGGACACAGAGCCCAAATGAAGTAGTCTGTTCCTCCCTTGAGACAGCCGAATGTTCTATCAACAACCCGTTTTTCCTTCAGGCATTCTGGAGGAAGACAAGGGGAAATTATGTCCTTTAACTAAAAGAAACACAACTTCCCCATTACTGGTCTTTCAAGTTTATACTCACTGATGTTCATCAACAACCTTTTTTTTTTAAAAAAAAAAAAAAATGTTACTTGTACATTTATTTGATTTATCTCCAACAGATTTTCCAAGTTTAATGTCCTTTGACACAGGCTTACAAAATTTTCATCTGGCAACAGGTCAGACATCTTTGGTAAGGTAATAGACACATCTGCACAAAACCACGAGGAAGAACTGGGCTGCACAGAGGCAAAGAGCATTTAATTTGACCCGCAAGATGTTTACTCTTGGTGTTGATGTTCAGAGAGAAGGAAACAGAACTTCAAGATCTATCCCCGAAATTGCGGGTAAGAAAGGATGCCTATTAGAAAGAAAAAAGAAGAAGCAGGGTTTGGTTTTGGATTTTTTTTTTTTGTTTTAGCTTTGCTTGTTTTGGGTTTTGCTTCCAGTCCAAATACTTCTATTGCTTCTATTCAAGTAAGATCAGTTCAAGCTCAAAGCCACAAACAAAAATGCGTTAGCATCTTGAAAATGTTCCATTTGTTTTTGAAAGAAGTTTAAATCACTTCTGTTCAATCTGCAAAACAGTACTTCTTAGTAAGTTCTTCCGATGCACAGGTGATACTGAGGTAGGTTAAGTCAGAAATATAATACAGACTTTGCTGAGGAATTTTGATCTGTTTTAAGCCACTGTCTTTCAGTTGTGGAAACAAACATAAATTTACCTTCCTCCAAGAACTGGATGTCAGAGGTATCAAGGTTGTGATCCATTTCAAAGAGTTGTTTACCTAGAAATAAAATAAATAAATAATGATCAGCCTAAGGCAACAAGTTAGTATATGTGCCAACAGGCTTCCTCCTCTTACATGTGAAATGTACACTTTTTCTTGTAGTCACTTTAATTTTACTAAGGCTTTAATAATAGAGGGTGGGAAATTTTACATCATACTAACCCACAGCCTTTCCTCAGAACAGGAAAACTAGAAGCAGCGTGTTTCCTACTATCTCATCTTTGCACATACCTAAATACATTCCCTTGAAAGGGGAATCAAGCGTGTCCCCTGCCCTGTAGAGCTTTTCATGAAACTTACTACCATTAAAATTTCCACATCTCTGTGAAATTTTGTCAAAACTAGCCAGAAGATTCAAGAGCCTTCAGAATCAAGAAGAAAAGGTAACAGTGATGCAGCACAATCACATTGGCTATGCTTTCTCAAGTAATTGGGTTAAAAGTATATCCAACATCACAGGAGAACCAGTCCAAAACTAAGCCATGGACAGCATAGAGGAGGATGACAAAGATTTAATTCTTACAGGTTCTCATAAGAAAAGTAATTTCCTCCACATTTTACCCACTGGATACAGAGCTTGCTTTCTGCTGAACAAACCGTGATCTGCAAAATACGGAGCCCGAAACCACTGCTACAACAAGCTTTTCCCAAAAACATCAGAGCTTTCTCACTAGTAAGCTTGTTGCATGCAGCAGCAAGCTTCTGTATTCCTTCAGTCCAGCAACAGCATCCCAAACTCCTACACGCGTTAGAATAACCTGAACTCGCTGTACAATCCAGCGCAATAAAAGCCAAATCAATAATCTGCCCGATGTACATTCTTCCTGTTGCTCAACAAACCCCAACTATTTCTGCCAAAACAAGGCTTCTCAGCAGCAGCTCCAAGTGATGTACTGTCTGGCACAAAACTGAAGAAGCTTAAATGCACAGTTTAGGAACTGTAATGACTTCAGTAGAAATCTCAAATCTATTAGCTTCCTATTTAGTCCAACGTCAGCACTCAAAAAGACTTCATGCGACATGAAGGACAATGACCAAATAGTGCATTAAGAGTTTGTTTACTACCACCATCTTTCAGTGTAAAAATCACTGTTAGACTTGTCATTATAATTCGGTAACATTACAAAAACTTTAGCACCAGCTTCAAATCATACCGCTTAATTTATTTTTGCCCGCTTGTTCTTCTTCTTTCATTTTTTTCCTTTTTATTTCTAGGAGTTCTGCATCAAACTTCGCTTTCCAATTTAGGAAATTCTCAATGGTAACAGGAGTGCCATGAAATCGTTGCTGAAAGAATAGAAAACAAGGCTGCAAACACAACTGGCAAAGCTATGAGGGAAGATGAGCATTCTCTTAATTACTTAAGTGACAACATTCTGTAAGCACTGCTTGCTGTAAATTAATCTGAGAAAATAATCCTAACCCTAAGAACATACAAATAATACTTTCGTGCTCTTTTTTGTCATGGGACTCTCCCTTCAGATAGCCATACTGAGGTGGAAATTCTTACGGAAAACCTCCACATACTAATTTTGGACATACAGTGCAATAGTTACCAACACACCACTCATACAAGTTATTCATAAGTAGGCAGCACCAACTGACACTGAAATATTTTCCATTAAAATATGATAACCCTTCTATTTTGTTAAGACAGAAAAAAAGGATTCTTTTTCCCCAGCTCTTTTACTGTCATTTTCAGAAATACTGAACCTGCCAAGTCGCATCACCCTCTAGCTATTTCTGAGGAAGAAAGTGAAGACTCAGTAGTTGCATTTTTCACAGCACATTCCACAAATAGAAAAACTATTCCACAGTGGCTGTTAGAAAGGACACGTGCAGGGAGGACAAATCAGGTCTTGAAGCCTGGTCTCACTGCTTCTACCCTACCCACTCAGTCTACGAAGGAAGGAAGAGTTTCTCAGGACAAGCAGCCTGTGTGTAGCATGCCATATTCCAGCCCTTTTTGCTCCCCATCACCTCTTGCCTCTTCAAACAAGAAACTGGCTACAGCAACTTTGAATTTTGGAAAAATCCCTGCCCCTGCCTTAAGGAGTAACGCTAGAAGGGATTGTGAACGTGCAATACGCCTCTGAAAAGAGGGGAGCGGGAATATAACTACTTAAGTGCACTACAGAACCTTCTCATCCCTAAGTTTTAATTGTTTCAACTTTGGGATAGATGTTCCTCTCCCAGTGCAACCCCGAATTGCTCCTTCATCAACCACACGCATTTAAAAAAAAGCAGGAAATTTTTAGTTGAAAGGATTATTTTACATACTTTCTCTTCTTCTTCTGCTTCTCTTTCTTTCTGTTTCTTTTCCTCTTCTCTTCGTGTTTTTATTTGATCCACTATTTCATTTAATTTCTCCTGTACTGCTGAGACTAGAGTGAAGATCATTACCATTCCTAAATTTTCTTCTGCCTGCAACAAAAGAAGACAACCTCAAACAGGAGAACCTCAAACCTCCTTCAGCTGAATGCATGTTTTAGAAGCATTATGCTGTGCAAATGCAGATACCGCAGCTGAGACACTCTGCACCAGACTCAAAAGCTCACTGTAAAATTCAAGTCAATTGGCCAGTTATTCCAGTTAAAGTTACCCCCAAATGGGTGTGCAGCGAACACCAATGATGATCTCTGTGTTCAGGTTATCAACATACTACAGACATCAGGAAGGCATTTTCATGAATAGAACAAAACCTTTAGTCGGAACGCAACTGTCAAGATTTGAATATCATAAATCTTAAGAGACAACAGTCACTCAGAATCTCTTTTCTCCTGAAATGGCTTATCCCTTAATCCCATTACATTCCTCCTTGAAGTGGAACACCTTCCAAAGAAAAACAAAAAACATCAGTTGATGGAAGGAAGGTTATATCAAGTAAACTGCAAAGAGTGAGTGTCTACTGAACATATTATGGCAATTTTAAGTTGGGGAGGACTTGTCAAGCACTCCTGAAATCAAAGAAGTGTTTCCTTCTCATTCCTTTACAATGCACTCACTGGTCCCAAAGGCTGAAGAGGTATTCCACCTCCCCCCACAAATAGTTGTGTTATTAAAAAGAATCAAGAATCAATGTAGCATTTTTAGATCTTTCCTAGTAAAACTGAAGCAACTTATTTCCACAAATACTATATATGAGTTAAATTCACCTTAAGCTAAAGGAGAAGCTCTACAGCACCTCCATTTCATTATTATACCTTTGCACACTGAACTAGCCCCTGTATTTTACTTCATCAACATAATTTCACTCAACAATGTAATTTAACAAACTCAAACCTCAAAGTTAGTCTCTACTGTATGGAATATCTTTCAAATCAGTAGCACATACCTCAGACAACAACTGACTTAAGAGAGAAATTCTGGCTAAAATGTGAAGTGATATCAAGCTGAATTGAGATATTCCATTTTCCTTACCTGTTGTTCTAGTAGCTTAATTATGTCCGTGACATCATTATCGTCAAGATTCTCCTGTGAGACAATTTCATAAAGCGGAGTTTCATCAGGATATTTTTCTCTATAGGTAAATTTAAGGGTTGTTTGGACAGCTACAAGATAAAAACCACATATTCTTATGGTGATAACTTTATATAACTGTAATTGTTTATTTTTCAATGGCATTAGTAGACTAAAGGTTTTAAAATATAAATTATTCTTGTCTCAAAGGGTCATCTTAAACAGACGTTAAAACTATACAAACAGATTTAAATATAATGCAAGAGTTCTGAAAAATTATTACAATGAAGTTTACCCTTACAGAAACTATTACAGGCTATTGATGTCTGAAAGGTCTTCAGAAAGACTGGAAAACCTTCTGTGGCATGGTGGGTAGTAGAGCAGTAATCTCTTTTCCCTCATATCCCACATAAAGCTGGAGAAAACGAGGATAAGCACTAACAACAGAGTTAGAGAGAATCTCAGCATACTAATGAGTTAAATTCCGTGCGCCTGTCCAGAGCATTAACCTCTGTGTTGGGTACCAGGGCTCCACATAAATCATGTCAAAAGGACAAAACGTCCAGTATAAGTTACCATGCAGAAAACTGCCTAAGGAGAACATGCTTCACCCGAAGCCATCCAGAGCTAGGACAACACTGAAACAAGGCAAATCAAGTTCCCTTCACATATCCTGTCAGAGTACCAGGGAGAAGCCTTCCTTCTGTTCCTCAAGACTCACACTTGTGGCAGCCCAGCAGTCTCTCTCAAACTTACCTGGAACAAGGCTCTCTTCCAACAAGCCCATTCAACCACTGATACCCAACCAAACATAAAGGGACTCGGGACCCACAGCTCTTTGTTCTGGAACTGTTCCTTAAGGGCTGCATATTCACAACACAGAGATTCAGCTCTCCCATGTGGCTGGGATACATACAGGTGCTAGAAAAAAACCCACCTCACAACATGGCTGTAAGCTAATACGCAGATGATGATAATCCATTCTTCTTGAAGCTACGCTGCAAAGCATTTGAGATTCAGCATGTCAGAAAGCAGCCACAGTGAGAGAGAGCAGCACTTGTGTAAACTAAACACAGATCACCAGAATCCCTGAACTACATTTTCTGAGGAATGTTTGTGGGACCAGGCCCCTAAGAGGACTTCAGTGGAGGTATACTCATTGGTGATAGAGTTAGGCTAACACAGAAACTCCTCCTATATATGTTTAAGACATGATCAACTTACTTTCATCATTTTCTCCTGCTTCAGATGTCACAGTGATCGTGAAAGTCGTTGGCTTTTCTGACAACACTGGTCAAAGGGGAAGAAAAAAAAAAAAGGAAAAGAAAAAAAGCGAGATTCCTTAAATCAGATAACTATTTCTTCACATCATTAAAACTGAACTTATCAATGACTAACGAAGCAAGGATGCTCTTGATACAGCGTTAAGGAGATTTTTTTGCCTATTAATAAAATCTTTTCAATTAACAGCTATTTTCCGTATACATTTGAGTGTTTGAAGTGCTCTTTGAGCGACAGCACATAACATCAACAATACCAGAAAGTTTCTCTTTCGGGAATTTTTCTCTTTCGCAAGTTTCACTTTTCCAAAAGCTGCAAACCTATCTACCATCATATGACTTATGTTAGTGCACTGAATGCGGGCAGAAAGCTCCCAAAGCTAGTTTTCTTTATTGTGCTAGATATGCATGATGAGCATCCAGTGCACTTTTAACCTGGACTATTTTTACAGTATGTCTGCACCCATTTCTATGTTTAGGACAGCTTAACATAGCAGATGTTTTTTAAAACAAAAAAGGAATACACAGTGCTTTCCTTCAAAAATGTACTACTCAAGTAATGTACATTTTAGCACTAGATATACTAATGTACTACTAATAAAATTGCATGAACGAGGCAGCTAAAAGACAGACAATAAGCACCTCTACGGAGATGCACAAAATGCAAGCCCCGTGATCTAAAGTTTCACAGACTAGAAACCTCACCACAAAGCAGGCTGCAGACCATATCCTCAAATAAGGGCTGCTCTGCACCACAGTTATAACCTATGCCCAATCGAGTATATATGCTCCAACTGTATCAAATGAATTTTGTGTGCTACTGAAATCTTTTTTTCCTCCTTTTAAGCATGAATGAACAATAGCTGAGAATAAGCAACAGAGGCTATTTGAAAGTATATTCATTCCATATCAGTTATCAGCAATTCAGCATCCCCAGCTGCCAGAGGTCAGTTTGTGTACTGAAAACTGAAAAGCCTCAAAGATGTTCAGATTAAAGCAAGAGGCAGATGTCCTGGTCAAATTGTCTTTGCGATGAAGTTACTGCCCAGTAAAACACTGTGGGACTTCAGGCAGAGTAAATACTGTGCTGGCAGGAAAGAGAAAATGCATATACATATATTTTTTTTTTTAATTATTAAAAATCTTTGGATACCGAGCACCACACATCACTTGAAAGGACATTGTAGAGAGGATGGTGCTGGTCTCTTCTCCCAGGTAATTAGTGACCGAGCAAGAGGGAATGGCTTCAAGCTACAACAGGGTAGGTTTAAACTGAACATTAGGAAAGAGTTTTTCACAGAAAGAGTAGTCAGGAATTGGAACAGGCTGCCCAGAGAGGTGGTTGAGTCACCATCCCTGGACGTGTTTAAGAGTCGTTTAGATGTGGTGTTGGGGGATATATGGTGTAGGGGAGAACTTTGTTAGAGTAAGGCTGACGGTCGGACTCGACGATGCCAAGGGCCTTCTCCAACCTAAATGACTCTATGATTATTAGCTAGCGTGGCAGGACCCCCTTTAATTGTTTGATGGCAACTTAGGAATTCCTGGAAATCCCAGCGACCAACGTATCTGCCATATGAGAGCTTTGGGGATACAGGGATGGATGGATAGATGGGAGCCTACGCTGGGCTGCTGTACCAGGGCGTGAAACGCCGCCCTCCGGCGGCGTTTCACGCCCTGGTACAGCAGCCCAGCGGCCATCAGACCCTTTCGTGAGGTAAAAAATCCAGAAAAAAATGACCCTAAACCATCCAACTCGAAGGAGAGGCCCGAAGGAGCCCAGGAGGGCCAGGCCCCGGCGGGTCCTCCCCCTCCTCCCTCACACAGGAGGGCCCCGCCGCCACCGCTGCCGCTCACCCGTGAAGGAGTCCGGGTAGATGGACTCCAGGGCCTCCAACTCGTTGCGCTGCTCCTCGCTGTAGTCGGTCATCGCCGCCGCCACCGCCACCACCTCCCGCCGCCGCCGCCAAGGGCCATGGGCCGCCCGCCCCGCTCCACGCCGCTTCCGCGCCTGCGCGCTGCCCTCCGCCATCGGCTAGGCATGCCTGGCGCCCCGATCGGCGGTGGATGGCTTTGGGCTGAAAAAGGAAGCGGAAGGGCAGGCCGCCATGGCGGTGATGGGTGGGCCTGCTGGGGTCGGAAGGGGGTTGTGAGGCGACAAGTAATTAGTCTTAGTGATTTTCGGCTGCCTTCGCAAAGAGTGATCAACTGCGGTGTCCCCCCCGGTCACTCAGCTCTTGTACTTGCTGCTTGGCCTTCGGCTCTGGGCAGAACGGGCTCGGTGTGTTTTCCCGCCGGTACCTGAGGTGAGGGGAAGAGGGGAAACCGTCGTCTTCATCATCTACACCAGGTCTCCTCCGGCTTCTCCCCGCCCCGCCGCTGGGAATAGCCGTGTTTTGAGTAGGGGAGGTGGTCCGGCTCTGTCCCTGAGACTTCTGACTTCCTACCTGAAGAGGCAGCCTTCAGTGTTACTGTAAAAAGTGCTTTCCTGCCAGGCTGGTATTCACTGCGTGTTCGTTCTTCCACTGGACATTTACCAGGACCTGCAAGCTGAAGGGGACTCAAAACTGTTGCTGTAGGAATGGCACCGTGGAGGCAGCTGAATGCCGTTTTCAGGCTGAAATTGGAAGTTCACTTGAGGCAGCTAGAAAAAAAAAGAACAAAGACAAAAAAAAAAAAAAAACCAGCTGGTGATACAGGTTGGAGTTCAAAAGCACCTACAAACTTTCCAGGAAAGGTTCACAGTGATTTCAGAAGTCACATTGCGTAGGCAGTATCATTATGTAAGTGCAGAACAGGATTCATCAAGGCAGCAACGTTGGGAGCCCCCATACTGGTAGTTAGTTACCTGCCAAGATGAATTTAAGAGTGTTGAGGTTTTAACAACAGCAGACCCTGATGGGTACTTGGTACAGAGTAGTTCTAAGGTGCGTCAGTTTCCTGGGCTTACGGCCAGCACATTTCCCTTGGGTGCATTTTACAAGCAAAGAGTTTCCAGAAAAAACTTTTACTGTGGACATAAAGACAATAATTTTCACTTCAAGTGAGCAAACTGCAGTTCTAAATTGATTTTTGGGTAAGATGACTCAGGTTTTAGCAAGCACTGTTCAGTACCAACTCATTGATTTTTCTGTAATCATGAATTCTTTTGAAAGCTGTGTCTTCACTACCAATGCATAATGTGTTTCAGGAAGCAAAGGAGTAGAGGGAAGTGCACCAAAGCACCTATAGTGCTAGTGTGTTGAGTACTATGGATTAATGTATGCTCATGGGTGATAGTCTGTTTGTTTAGCGGCAGGCTGACTTCACAATGACAGATACAGCTGGTACTTCCACTCAGTATTATAAGCTATAAAAAAAAATAAAGGACAAATAGTAACTGTAACAAAATTGGAAGACATAAGGTTTGATTTAAAAGTTAATTTAACAAGAAGTTCAAAGAATTTGACAGCTCACTCTTAACTGCAAATATTGCATCATTTTTATAATGTTGCTGTAAAAGAAGAGAAGAGGAAAGAACCAACATAGAATAAAGACAACAGCTGTTTTTTTTTGTCATTTGGATACAGACATCAGTAAAGGGTTTTTTTGCCAAAACTTTCAGAGGCACAAATCAGTGGCACATATCCATGTTACAAATAGTGTTCCATCTTACTTAAATAAAAAAAAAAAACAAACCAAACACAAAGATTTTTAAAGACTTTGTTTACTAACAGAAATCATTTGCTGCCCAAGGAGTGCATATGAACAGTGCAGTTCTGTTAAGGATTCTGTTCAGGATTTACTTAACACACATATGTGGGAATTTGTAAGACTTTTTTTAGTGATGTAAAATTTGCATAGTTCTCCAGTTACTCAGCACATACGTCATTTGCTGAAGTGCTTGCTTTTGTTTAGAAATTTAAGTCTTCAAGACTAAACACAGTTACCAAGATCTGCAGTTTAACTTACTTCTGATTCCTGTGTTTTCTAGTAATTGGTACTAAATAATTATGTTTTTCCACATCAACACTCTAGGGTTATTTATTAACAACAGATCCTATAATCTAGTGTATTGCTTTGGAGCACACAGCAAGGTAATACAGGCAGCATTAGGAAACACTATTTCCCCCCCCCCCCCCCCCCCT